AGTTTCAATTAATTGTTTTTCACTATCAATTTTTTTCCCGGTTTCAATACAAGATTTTTCAGTTACAATATTTTTTTTCGGTTTCAATATTTTTTTCGGTTTCGTTTCAAGGTGGCATCGTTCTCCTGTCCTTTCTAATTATTTACATAAGGCTTACACAATCATTGAGCAGGAGGGGATGCTGCCCCTCCTGCTCATCTGTTTTGATGTAGATCACCTGGTTGTTCAGTTACATATAAGTTGTGTCTGAGCTCCTGCTCCTTGCACCTTTTTATACCTCCGCTCTGTCTTCAGCAGGACAGCTGTGAGACAAACATGTTGGTCTGGACAGTGTGTGCAGCCTTGATTGTATGTGGCGTTTTACTCCGCCATTCTTATCTCTTCCAGGATGTCCTGTATGTGCTTGATAAAATAAAAAGAAGGCGCTTTGCCTTAAAGTGCATGCAGACTAATTACTCAATCCTGGACCGCTTTTTAGAGCTGGTGAAGACGCAGCCGCAAAAGACTTTAATTTATTTTACAGATGAAATGTTCACGTACCGGGACGCAGATGTCCTGAGCAACAGAGCCGCGAGAGCGTTTCTGCAGGCTGGATGCGTAAAGGAAGGAGACACGGTGGCGCTGTTCCTGGGGAACCAGCCGATGTTCCTGTGGCTCTGGTTGGGTTTGCTGAAGATTGGATGTCCCGGAGCTTTGCTCAACTCCAACATCAGATCCAAGTCTCTGCTACACTGCCTCAACTGCAGCGGAGCTACAACTCTGGTAGCAGCTGAAGGTAGTACCTGCATTTCTGTCTGCTTTTCCAAGCGATGGAGACAGTAGAGAGCTCATTTACTCAACATTCAATAACAAATAAATACATAAATAATTTGAGAACAAACTGTACTTTGGCATGCCATGAGAAAAACACCAATGTAGGCTATGTACTGTTTGCCTGCAATGGAGTAATCTATTGATGGAGTTTGATATAAGAATTTCCATTTTTACTTCACCGGAATAAAGTATCAGTCTTTATTCACACATCTAAAATTGTGCTTCTACCTCACTTCCGGGTCAATATCTTACATTAAATGCAAAGAATGGTTGTCACTTTCCAGTAACAGGGATGACTTTTCATACAGTATAAGAAGCTTCTTAAACATCTTCTCACTGCCTATTGTTGCTTTAGTTTTTAATATTTGGAAATGAGTACATGTATACTCAACAGAAGGAAAACCACTTTCTCCACCATGCAGTACACCTTTTTATGACTGCATATGGCTGTCTTCTTCACAAAGCAGACAAAAATAATGTGTTGCACTTGTGGTTCATCTTAACTTTTAGTTATTAAGTGTGCCTATGCCAAGAGGCACACTTATTACTATTCGTCGGATTTATTATTCTTATTATTATTATTATTATTTTCCTTTTTCCCGCGCTTATGTGCCGCACAGTTTTGAGACAAGGTTCACATATATTATATCATTTTGTGCGGCTGGGTCTGGACTAGTATGCTATGACTTTTGGTGTTTATGACTGTTATAGTTTTTTAAATATTTAGAATTAATGCAAATTTTGGCCCATTTCTAGGCCCATGAGAAAGATTCAACTTTTGGCCCCATAGAAACAGACTTCATTTGTGGTGTGTTGGC